CATTAGTGCCTATTATGCGAGGGTAAATATATGTTTTTTAGCCATTATCTCACAATAAAATTCTAATGAATGTTCCTGTTCTTCACAATGGAGCTAATAAAATGCAAGCATACTTATGTAACAAACTTTCTTCTCTTTGTTTATATAAAAAAGAGGAAAAAGATATACATGAGCTCTGTTTGTTGTACACAACCAACAGGATATGCAAAAGCTTTTAAGCAGATACCAAAGTAAAGGTCTCTTGATAGCAGCATTAAGCTCTGCTGTCTTCCTCGCAGATCAGTTCTTAATGTAATTTTTTAAAAATAATGCTATAGATAGCCTAAATATATGATTTTTCTAATCTTGACTTTGCAGATTTACATGAAGTAAATTTTTTGATCTAGACATTTAATGTCCCTTCCTTCCTTTCCTCCTTCCTTCCCCCATAAAAACGGACTGTATAAAGTTATTGACTCCCTAAAATGCAAACTATAGTCCAAAAATTTGTATGAAAGACAGTGTTTTATAATGTCTCATGTATGTAACTGTGCATTTATTTAAATAAAAAAAATACATGTAGACTTTAAATATATGTGTGTACATTTTTAAATTCTACGTGTATATTTATGTAATGATTTTACTAATTACAATTTAAGGGGACCTGCCTGACAACCCAGGCAGAAAGCCTGGAGAATTAAATGTGCAAGCACTATATTTTCTTTCTAAAACGCCATAAAACCTGTACATGGGGGTACTGTTTTACTTGTCAGACTTCGCTGAACACAAATATGAGTGTTTTAAAACAGTAAAATAAAAAAATTTAGAAAACAAATATAAACGCTATAAACTTTGGCCAGGGTTTGTGACAAAGTGGCTACTCTAAAAGAAGGCCATATGGCCTCAAAGGCAACATAAGCAATCTAGCATATTTTAATGTGCAATAACAGAAATGGGCAAGTTTTATGTTTTGACCTTGTAACTTTCCAAAACACCATATAACCTGGACATGAGGGGTACCATTGTACTTGTGAGATATTGCTGAACACAAATATGAGTGTTTTTGAGTAGTAAAGCATTTAATGCTGATGATATAAGCAATGAAAGTGCATTTTATTTGTGAAAAATGCAAAAAAACTAAAGAAAAACGTGACCTGAGTTTGTGACTAAATAGATACTAAGAAAAGAATGGGCATACCCCATTTCCAATACCCTGGGTTGTCTACTTTTCCAAAATTGTATGCCATTATGGCGGTAATTTTGATTCCTGGGCTGCCATACTGTCTCAAGGCAACATAACCAATTTGGCAAATTTCAATGTGTAAAAAGTGGAAATATTTGACCCTATAACTTTCCAAAAAGTATCCATAAACACCCTGTACATGCGGGGTAGTGTTGTACTTGTGAGACATTGCTGAACACAAATATGTGCATTTTATCGCAGTAAAAGCTAAGCGTGTTATGACATTCACAGTTAAGAAAATAGCTAAATTCTTAATTTGTCACACTTTAGCTTTTATTTCTATAAAATTGTTTCATATCTAAATATTGATGTGAAATAAAAGCCATGTTTCTCCTGAACAAAACTATATATAAGTGTGGGTGCACTTAATATGAAAGAGGTGAATTAGGTTTTTTTTTGTTTTGTTTTTTTAACCCAACCATTATCTGACAAAGGGATGTAAGATGATAAAACTGGATTTTGTTCTTTTAGGACTGAACTCCTAAAGCAATGCTTATGCTCCTGGCCTCTTATGCATTGAAGCATGTCGCAAAACAATGCATTACTTGCCCCTTTCCACCCCCCTGGCATTAACATGGGTAAGTGAGCTTCCCTGAGTTTGACAAAGTAATCTAGCTATGTCTGGGAGGTGTGCTGTTCACCATCTGTTAATATTGTACTGTGTTTTAATGTTTTGGGACATTTTATACAGTGCTTGTGTGATAAATTACATGAAACTTAGAATTCTAAAGTTTTAAAAGCCATGTTAACATTGGCAAAAACAATTTCTTTCTGGTGACTTTTTTGTTCTCAAGTTTGTTTAGTAAATTAAAGGAGCACTATAGGGTAAGGAACACAGACATGTATTCCTGACCCTATAGTGAAAACCCACCATTTAGGTGGCTTGCCTCCCACCTCCTGCACACCCTATTAGCCCCCTCAGAATGGGTTAAAACTCACCTTATTTCCAGTTCTCCACGGGTCCGGATTGGCTAAAATCGGCAAGGGGGCAGGGCCAAAATTCAGCGTGTCCATGCAGAGCGTGGGGACGCTGAATGGCAGGACTTCCTACTGTGCAGCCCTGAGCCAGGAAGCCCCTCCAGTGGCCATCTAAGGAGTGGCCACTTGGAGGTGGGCAATGTTAAAGGGACTCTCCAGTGCCAGGAAAACAATCCGATTTCCTGGCACTGCAGGTCCCCTGTCCCTCCCACCCCCCCATCCCAGGTTGCTGAAGGGGGGGTGGTTCAGGGTCCGCCCACACTCCTCCCCCGCCGACGTCATCCGGCGGGGGAGACCTATTGCGCATGCGCGGCCGTCGGCTGGGGAGACCTAATGCGCATTAGACATCCCCACAGGAAAGCATTGAAAGATGCTTTCAATGCTTTCGTATGGGGATTTCAGTGACGCTAGAGGTCCTCACATAGCGTGAGGAAGTCCAGCGACGCTATAGCACAAAATCTGCCACTAGAGGCGGAGTTAACCCTTCAAGGTAAATATTGCAGTTTATGAAAACTGCAATATTTACACTTGCAGGGTTAAGGGTAGTGGGAGTCGGCACCGAGACCACTCCAATGGGCAGAAGTGGTCTGGGTGCCTGGAGTGTCCCTTTAACACTGCCTTTTCTCTGAAAAGGCAGTGTTTGCATAAAAAAAGCTTGAAAAGAGCTATTCTACTCACCAGAACGACATCAAGCTGTAGTTGTTCTGGTGACTACAGTGTCCCTTTTAATGTTGCGAAATAATGTGATGTTGCAACTGGTGTATTGCACAACACGTTTCAAATGATTTATAATGATAAATTCTGATACTTCTGGTTTCCAGGCAGAAAGTTAGTAGAACATGGCTCTTATTAAAAATGAGAGGCATTTTCAGAGTGGTGCTTTTTAGTTTTGAATTTATAGATTTGGATGTAAAGCTGTTAATCACAAAATAGCAACACAACAAATGCATGCTCTTTTCTGAATCCATAGAAGATCCTACTTTGTGTTTTATATTGAATGTGGATTTAATGATTTTCGCTTGATTTTGAAGATATAAAGATATGCTTTCTTTCTTCAATGTGATAACTATAAAATACTTTACCTTGATTTGTCAGTTTGAGAGGCACATACATTACATTTGGTAGGGCAGTATGTGATAAGAGAGTTTTCTTTCTGGACTTTATAGGCTTAGTCCATGCACCACATCTGCTTTGATGATTTGAAGTGGTCATGGTGCCAGCAGTCTGTATGTGCAGAGTTCTGGGCTCACTGTCAGCTTTGGTGAATTTACATTGCACAGAATTTCATTAATTGGCTGAACCAGTTCACTCAAGCAGGAACATAACACTGTGTGAAAGTTGTCATAATACAAGCCATGCCAGCAACCATCAACATACTACACTTTCAGTCAAACGACAAGACTGAGCAGTCCATATTGCTGTCCCCAGATATAAATTAATGGGTGTGAGGACCCCATAATGCAGAAAAAGCAATGAGTGCGAACATGGGCAAAAGGAAACTAAGAATGTGTATTAGGAGGAGAGAATACAGAAAGAAGATGGAAACAATAATGATCCTTCTGAGTTACAAGTCCCAGAGCTGGAAAGATCCCACTCTGGAAGCTGCCTTGGTGTCATGGTCAGACTGACCGAACCAAACAGGATGTGAAGTGTTTGTGTTGCTTGACCTTTTATGCAAAATTAATTTATTGGGTTACAATGGCAAAATGTAAAAAACTATTTATTTATTTTTCACCCCAACTGAAATAGCTAGAAGCCAAAAAGCAAAAACTCATTGTGGACTCACTTGTGATCTTTGATTTATTGGTCCTTTTTATCAGGGTGGATTTGATTTAAAGGAACGCTTCAGCCACAATTACGGGGAGCTACTGATTTATATCGTCAGCTGACTGCTCTAGCCTATCATCGGCACACCAGCCAGGTGGCTCATCGCGCTTCATGATAGTCACTTACAAAAGCCGGATGCTGATGTAGGGAATTGCAGATCTGGCACTGGAGGCTGCATTTGGGATTAAACCTATACGAGATCATAAGTTCATGTTTAGTTTTATACCTTTTCTAATTAAATGGTTACTTGAGGTACTAGGACAACTTCAGTGATGGTATCTGGAGTCTCTGTGTGCAGCATTTTACTGTGAAAGGCTTCACTTAACAAGTTTAACTCCTTGGTTGCTGAAGGTGTAACTCCACCTCTGGCAGCGTCATGGGGTGTCATCAGCCAGCCTGTAACTATAGTTCTGCGCTAACTAATAACTGTTCTGTGCAAAATCTTTTGCAAAGTGTGCCATCCATATTCTGATAGCAGTCAACTGATGTTCTGAGCTAATGAATAGTAACTGGTTCTGCTTGTGGTTGTAAAACTCTACAGAAGCCAGGAGAGCATCACCCGGCTATTTCAGAATACTCTTACCCTGGCAGAGACGCCGGTAAGAGGGCAAACTGTTATGCAACAGTTAGTCCCATTACTGTGAACCAGGCTCGGGTACTCCTGATATCATAATCATTACAGCCGCCAATAGTGGTTATGATGATTGGAGTAACTGTTACTAATTTTGCTATATACCATTAGAAATACATAGATAAGTAATGATGAAATTATTGTAAGATGACTTATCTCCAGTTTAATAGTTAAATCACTCATTTTTTGGAGAACAACTTACCAAAAATTAATGGTGTTTATTATGTGTTTATAGATTTGCAGAATAACAATGTTTTGGGTCTTTTTCTTAAGTTTGTATTCATTTTTTTTAAATAACTTTTTGCTATGAAAAAGGTGCATATTTTCACTACAGTCACAAGTTCAATTAACATCAACCCCTCTTCTTGCTGAATACTGGACTATGTCTTTTCAATAGAAAACTATCTATCTTTAGTTTGTTTTCCATTGAAAGCGGTGTGTGTGTGTGTGTGTGTGTGTGTGTGTGTGTGTGTGTGTGTGTGTGTGTATATATATATATATATATATATATATATATATATATGTATATATGTATATGTATATACACATGCAATTAATTTTTTTTTATTTATTTGTTTTGAATCTTCAATTTTTCACAATATTTTTATGGCGGTTAACTTGCAATAAATGTATAGGTACTGCAGTTTTCTTATTTATTTATGTGTGTTCATTTCCAGCTATATTGGCATGACAATATTTTTTTTGTTTGTTTTCATACATAAGATTTTCAAGTTCAGTTGACCTATGAAATGGCCGAGAATGGTACGGATTGTGAGCAGCGGCGTGTTGGAATGGCCAAAGAACAGCACAACGGAAATTTTACAGGTAAACAATCCCATAGGTTATTTATTTTTTTTTTTTACTCTTTGTCTTAACAATCATGCATGTGTGGGCATTTTATTCAATGCACTTTAACCCCTTAAGGACACATGACATGTGTGACATGTCATGATTCCCTTTTATTCTATAAGTTTGGTCCTTAAGGGGTTAAATATAAAGACCTAGAGTTAAAGGGACACTATAGTCACAAAAATAATATTTGGCTTAAAGGGACACTATATAGTCACCAGAACAACTACAGTTTATTGTAGTTGTTCTGTTGAGTTTAGTCAGTCCCTGCAGGCTTTTTGCTGTAAACACTGTCTTTTGAGAGAAAAGGTATTGTTTACATTACTGCTTAGGGACACCTCCAGTGGCCACTCCTCACAGGTACTGCCACCATATTAAGAAAAAAATAATGTACGGTAAGTAAAAATTTCTGTTTTCTCTTTCCTTTTGAATTTTTAGATCAGGTAGGCAGCCCAAAAAGTGGTTGCCTTACTCATTCCATAGCCCACCGATCCAGCAGAGGGTCAGACGCTGCACGTTTTGCGTGCGCTTTTATTTGTTTTAAGTCGCAATGACGTCATAACAGCATGACTCTATATGCCGAACCTATCGGTTTGCACGAACAAAGGCTCCTGAGTTCCTCGTTCGGCCAAACTCTGGTATTTAGGCGTTTTAAAGTGATGCTAACCATTAGTATTCGTTCCCTGGCTATATAAGCCAGGGCTTTTCAGTAGCAAGTTGCCCTGTTGTGGTTCTTCATTTCCCAAGAGTGTGCTTTCCATTGTTTGGATTTACTATTACTGACTTTGGCTTGTTTAATTGTGTCTCTGCTTTCTGTGTTCCTGACCTTGGCTTGTCTTCACGTTTATCTGTTCTCCCCTACGTTTGACCTTGGCTTTCTCTTTGATTTCTCTTTACGTTAAATCCGTAATTTCTAAGGCCCGGTAATACATTATTCCATTCCTTCAAATTTTCTATATCCGATTCTACTAATCTTATTGTGAAGCAACATAATGTTTCTATTTTGTTAAAAAACAAAAAACAAACCTGAGCATTAGCAGTTGGTCCGTTGTTTGGACCCAAAATACTAATTGCTTCTTATTGCATCATTTCCCAGTGTGTAGGAGAGAACAATGCATAATTCCATTATTGTGGATACAGCTCGTTTAAGAAAATGTTCCTTTTCAAGATCTGTGTAATGTTTGCTCTTACATTACATAATGAGTCTCTTTTTTAATGATTCATTTAATGAGAGAATCAGTCAAAACCAAGACAATGTGAAATCTTCTATTCCATCAGAAGTAAAAATCAGGCTCTAGGAGAAAATACACCTATATTTGGTAGTCTAGAATGAATGGCCCAATTTAAAAAATTTTTTTTTTTTTGTAAGATTTGTCAATGTGCTAATTATTGCACCTAGAGCATCAGCAGTTCTAAACATAGTTCTCTTTAAGGCACACCCATGGTGAAGGATTTAGTTATTTCTTGTGGAAATACTTAAGCTTAAATAAATATTGTTTTTAACCGGGCCTCTCTTTATGTTGTTATATTATGAATTGTATTATTCTTTTTGCAGGAGATTACATTTTACCAACTCTAAATTACGAAAGGAGGAATTTTCTAAGCCCCAAAAAAACTACTTTAGCTTAATGAAGCCGTTTTAGCATGTATAACATGCCCCATGCAGTGTCACTGCTAAAATAAATTCTATTTAGAAGTTAATTCACTAGCCTGACTCCATGGGAAAAAAAGTTTAATGTTCAAACTGGTCTTACAGCACAGTGTGTTTGTCTCCTCTGTGAATTAATATGAATCACATACAGGAGGCTGCTGTAGGTTCCAGCAGGCAATTATCAGAGAACTTTAAAGGACCACTATAGTGCCAGGAAAACATACTTGTTTTTCCTGGCTCTATAGGGCCTTTAGGTCCCACTCCCGCTGGGCTGAATGGTGAGGAAGGGGTTAAACGCTTACTTTTCTCCAGCGTCTGGCTCACTGGGGCTGGGGACTCTCCTCCCTCTTCCGACGTCATCCGCCGAATGCGCGCGCTTTCAATCAGTCCATAGGAAAGCATTTCTCAATGCTTTCCTATGGACGGCAACGACTTCCCACTGTGAAAATCACAGTGAGAAGCACGGAAGCGCCTCTAGCGGCTGTCAATGAGACAGCCACTAGAGGCTGGATTAACCCTATTGTAAACATAGCAGTTTGTCTGAAACTGTTTACAGCTGCAGGGTTAACCCTAGATGGATTTGGCACCCAGACCACTTCATTGAGCTGAAGTGGTCTGGGTGCCTATAATGGTCCTTTAAATAAAAAAGTTTGAGTGATACAATTTTTTACATTAGTTTCAAAGTATGTTCTGTGGTGTAGACATTATCTAACTTAAATGTACTAATTTAATTAACCTTTCAACGAATAAAGACTGAGTTGTTCCTACTGAGAAACAAACTTGCAACCCTGTTGTTTGACCAGTAAGTAAAGATATTGCAGCTGGAGCACTAGCCAACAAATCAATCAATTTTACTTAAACTTAAAAAATTGATTCCTGATCAAGTATTTTGTTTAAATGCCCTGTCGGTCTATCTAAAATACATGTGGGGATTTTCAAACTAAGCATAAGATAAAGGTAAACAAACCTTTGGCCCATATGGCATTTGGCCAAGGATTCTTACGGAGCTTAGTTCTGTAGTAGCCAAACAACTATTTTTAATCCTCAGGGATTGAGTTTCCTCAGGTTTAGCACCATGCTATTGCTGGCATTAAACATGTTTTGAGAAATAGAGAGAAATGTGATCCATGCATTATATAAACCTTTAAATATTATATCAAGCTTGTCTAAGCTTTGGAAAATGTTACAAAGAGATATTATATAGCATAGTAAGATTTCATGATTATAAGAGGGAAATGTTTGATCTTTTTGAAGTAAATTATAGTTTTCATGAAAGGGAATTCAAGGTAAGGTATTGTTTTGAATTTTGTCAATCCATGTAAAATAGTGATCCAATTTATTATAGTCTGTAAACGTTCATTGAGTAAAGAAGAAAAACAATAAATACAAGCAAGTACAATAGAAGGATAAACCAACACATACATACAGATAATACAATGTTCTAAACAATGCAGTGTCTTAATCCCAATTAAAATCCTTTTTGACCCCACCCGCCCACCTCTCATGAGTACTATCTGCCAGAGATTTGGCATAACAAATAAGAGAATAAGACTGAGTAAACAGAGAGCAGGAGCGAGCGAAAGGAATAAAAAGGGTTGGGGGAAAAGGGGAGAATAACCTCTGGCACTCCATCCGCTCCTGTGAGTGTCTTCACGCAGTCTACATTCGCAGTAGTTAGTCAGAGCTCATTACTCATTAGTTCGTAATTAGAGAAATCCAGGAAGGACAAAATCTCCAGCCAAGTGAAGCACCCCCATATATAGGCTTTCTGTTCCTTTGCCCTAACAACCGCAGCAACAGCAGTTTTTGCCAAATTCTGCTTAGCTCAGGGCATGACAAATTTACTTGGACTCTATGGGCCAGCTAAAAAAGTTAGAAACCGGAGGCGGAGCCTGACAACGGACCGTAGCGGACGCACTTTGCCGGAGCACCGGTGTATTCCACTGCAATCTGCCAACATCGGGGAAATCCTGCATAAATACCGGCCAAACATCCAGCCACAGACAGCAGGGAACCCCACTGTGACCGCCGATGCCATTTTTTCCTGACGCCTGGCTCCAAAAATAGACGCCGAGGCGGCAAGGACTACTGAGTGGGGGGGACAGCCTCAGCCCATCACGAGAGAACACTGGCCCTGGAATATCCCAGACTTCGAGGACTGGTACCCCAGCACAGGTGAGATGGGGTGCAGAACGCAAAAAACGCCCCAAAACACCCCAAAACAGCAACGCGACATAGGCCAAATGCTACAGGTCCCAAGCGCAGTAAAGGCACAGACCCCCCCTGCGAAACAACCCCGGTACCATCAGAGGAGGGAGATCCGCTAGACAGCCCACACCCCAGTCCTCAACACCCAACACACACACACATGGACACCTGAAGCCAGCACACCGGCCTCAAAATAAGATATACAGGCAATACTGACAGGCCTGCAACTGAACCTGAGACAAATGTGGGAAGCAGATCTGGCAGTGCTTAAGCTAGATATGCACGCAGTGTCCACGCGCACTCAGGCGGTAGAAGAGATGGTAAAGGGACTAAGGGAGAACTACCAGGAACTGGGGGAGAAGGTGCGACACCTCGAAGCCTCACAAGCGACGATGTCCAGGCAAGTTAACCTTCTAGATGACAGAGGGCACCGCAAAAATATAAAAATCCGAGGGGTACCTGAGTCGCTGGAAGAATTGCCACACTTCACTAGACGCCTTGTGGCCACACTCCTACCGACAAGACAAACCAAAACATTTCAGTTCGATAGGGTTTACAGGATAGCCAAATCCCCTCAAGCACCCGCCTCAGCTCCTCGGGACATAATATTAAGATGCCAATCAATGTCGGACAAATTGGGGCTAATGGCAGCTATACAAGGGAAGACCCCTTTTGACTTTGAAGAATGCAAACTCTCCTTCTTTCAGGACTTGAGCAGGGCCACACTATTATGGCGCAAAAGCATGCACCCAATTGCCTATAGATGGGCGACACCAGGAACTCTCTGGATCACCAAGGACGACAAGCACTACAAGGCTACTGACCTCACGGAGTGCCCAGCACTGATGACTGCACTAGGAATATCGAACCTTGCAGCAACCTCGATGACACAGCCAGATCATCGGACAGGGACAACAAGCGCAGATCCCACCGCAACCCCTGGAACAAGCAGGGGCCCAAAAACCAAAACCTGAACGAACTGCTTTTGCCGACAGCCTCCTAGGCTATAATTTAGTTTAAATATTTTGAGTTCATAAGACTGTTCATTAAATTACATATAGATCTCTCTTACTCTGATGGCTATTACAGAGCGAAAAAGGCCCACTGGAGCCAACCACACCAGCTCCAATGACACCCCCCCTCCCTGGGGTTAAAGGGAACTGACATCAGGGGCGACCTAGTAACCCTGACTTGTATCAAGCTCACCGCAATGTCTTATAACCCTAGCCTAAAGCCCCACGGGCACAACTTGATCCTGGCACACCACAGCGACTTCTATATACCTAGACACAAAATCCATAGTTGCCACACTGACCAGCAACCACGTGCAGCTACCACTAGGACAACAAGACACCTTTGGACGCCTGGTGCAAACAAATAGCTACAGACAGGGACAAAAAAGGGAGCGGACCTAGTCCTAGAAGAGGTACCCATAGAGGGATCCCGCAATCACCACAACCCACTCCCTGTCCACACGCAGAGGGGCCAAGAGACACAACAAACACCCATAACTTTGAGACATATGACCGGGAAGTAAGAATAGTCACCAGACTTAGCTGTAACTGCCCTCTCCCCTCCACCCACGACCTAACGAAACAAAGGGTGTCATTGGCAGACAGAAGCCACTATAACAATGCGACCTATCATAACTACAAAATGTGTGGGTATTGAACATAGAAATGCCTTGTGCTTAACATTCACTGATTCTGATTGATGTGTAGAGGCTGTTGTAACCAAACATAAGTGTCTGTTATCTTTCCACACGAAAAATAAAGAATTAAAAAAAAAAAAAAGTTAGAAGCCAGTTTTTTTTTTGTTTGTTTTTTTTTTAATTGATTTTTATTTGTTATCTTTTATAAGTTTCCTTAGACCACTTATGGTATAGAAGAGCCTCTGATTGTAGAGAGGAGGGTCATCAGTCATGTGTTTCACTGCCTTCTATATTTTCCTTCAATAGCCCTGGATAACAGGACAATGTCACCATATGTGAAGCAGATTGTGCCCTTCAGCCCCATAATGTCCTTTGGTGGTCTTCAACTTACCCACAACCCAAGAAACTCTGAATGTAAAGGTGGTGGTGTAGGGTTTCTCCTCTCTCCTCACTGCTCCTTTAAACCTCTACCCAACCCCCATTCCCTCTCTTTCCCATCAATTGAAATACATTAAATTTGCCATTTCAAACCCTTCTCTGCTAACATCGCTGTTATTTATCATCCCCCTGGTTCCCCTCTTCTCTTTCTTGACCATTTCTCTGCCTGGCTACCCTATTTCCTCTCTTCTAATATTCCATCCCTAATTCTCGGGGACTTCAATATTCCCATTAACCCACCTTTGACCTCTGCAGCCTCTAAACTACTTTCAATTACTTCCTCCCACGGGCTATCACAGTGGGCTAATTCTCCCACCCATGTAGCTGGCAATACCCTTGAAATTATCTTCTCTTATGCATGTACAGTATTTAATATCTGCAACACTCCATTTCCTCTCTCTGATCATTACCTCTTATCGTTTGCTCTCGTGTACACCCTCACCCAACAATCTCAGCTGAACCCCCTTAAACTCAGGAAGGACCTTAATTCTCGTGAGCTCCAGCAGCTGTCAGCTGATATTGATTCACAGCTGCTATCCATCCCTTCCCTCTCCTATCCTTCACTGGCCATCTCCGCATAGAACACTACCCTCACCTCTACCTTGAATGCTGCAGCCCCGCTCCAAACAAGCACCTTGAGGAGGACCCACCCCCAACCGTGGCATACTAAATCAACACGCCTTTAATTCATCTTTGACACCTTTAATTCTCTTCTTCGCCCTGCAGCGACCACCCACCAAACTAACCTTACTGCCAATAGCTTTGCATGTTACTTTACTGACAAGATTGAACAGCTAAGGAAAGAATTCTCCCCTCCTTGCCGTTCTTTCTCAACCACACATAGATCATGCCTTCCCTACCCTTCAGACGTTCTCCCTGGCTACTGACCAAGAGGTGGCTGCTCTTCTCTTTTCCTCTCGCCCCACCACTTGCCCGCTCGATCCTGTCCCTTCTCACCTTATTAGATAAAAAAAGAGGGGGTAATAGGCGCTCACTATAGTGTATTGTAAATAGGCAGCAGTATACAGAACAAGGATTCCCAAAACCTCGTGGATAGATAGAGAAGACAAAAAGAGGCGTATACCGCGCCCAATAGTTTATATAAATACGAAATGTACGTACATATATTTCCAATGGATTAAACCTCGGAATAAAATCAGATAAAAAATAATAGTGCAATACAGTAAACTTATATCGTGAAGTGGTGAATATAGCTATACAGAATCAACTCACATTTATATGAGCTATAACAGAGCTCAACTGTGATGTGCTTGCGTCTCAGGATATGTTGTTATGGTTGACACAGGTATTTCCAAAGTGCAGTATGCGTAGTATATGTAAAAAGAAAATAGCATCCAATGGTGAAGTAAGTACTTATGATGGAATAAATAATGAATCCCACCAGGGATATGCAGGATCCAGGAAGCAGCAAAAAGAATGAGTATAAAAAGTAACTAATAAAAGTATACTTTAATATAAACAAACAGAATAAAAAACCATAAAAGGTATGAACGAGAGTCCCACTTAACACGTTTCGCCTAATAAGGCTTCTTCAGAAGTGTGGTATAGCCTTCCCTGGGTTATATATATAATATACACATAGTGTTCAAGTAGAGATTGTAGCCGTATTAGTCCAGTGATGTAGATGTAAAAAAAACAGATCAAATTCTTATCTTGTAATACCTTTTTTATTGGACTAACAGAATTTTTTAATGGCAAGCTTTCGGGAGAACCTAATGCTTCAGACTTGAGAAAGGGAGGTTCTCCCGAAAGCTTGTCATTAAAAAATTCTGTTAGTCCAATAAAAAAGGTGTTACAAGATAAGAATGTTATCTGTGTTTTTTATATATATATATATATATATATATATATGTATATATATATATATATATATATATATATTTATATATATATATATATATATATACTTCTAAATTCGTAAATTACTTCCTGATGTCTCTTCCTGGTTCCAGTTGGAACGCACGCGTCATACCGGAAATGACTCAGCGTCATATGACAGTTCGTGTATTATTATTGCGCTACTGTGGAACGCATGCATCGCTCAAAAACAGTGTGCGTCGCGTTTCAGGCGCATCCATCAAATGTCCAAACAGCTCCCACGAAGGAGGGGCATAAGAAGTAGGCGTGTCATATCTCCATGCTTATAATGATGGCTTAGCGGCCATATTCGTTATGGGCATAAAAAGAAATAAAATGAGTAGAATCACTAAGTATTAGTATTAATATTGTACAATATATTATAATGATACTGATATAGATCAATGAAATATTCAAGATGACTATTTCTGGTGTTCTAAAACTATATACAAATATAAGAAATAAAATAAGAAATTTAAAAAAAAGATTAAAAATAACCCCAGCAAGCAATGAATAATAAATTTCATTCACATATAAACTCATAACAGAGCATAAAGAAACCACTTAAGACACCTACTGGCATTTTCAATTTATCTGACAAAAGTTCTAAATACAACTGAGATCAATGTTTTAAAATGAGGCTTAAAATTTGCCCCGACTAAACTATATAATCCTTTCCTATATAGACGTTAACAAATTTGTAAGGAATGCCACCTTAAAACGTTTCTATATTAATAAAAATAATACCAATACTAATAAAAGTGCTAATACAGGTAATGAAAATACAAAAGAATATAGAAGTAGTGAACTTAAAAACAAATCCACTTTTTGTCCTGCCTATTTTAAATCCAGTGCTTTGGACATATTTGAAAAGAAAGTATGTAAGGATTTAAAAGTTTTAGACACTAAAAAAATGGGAGACAGACCAAACATGAATAAAAAAGAAAAGCAAATACTTAAAGATCTATATAATGATGCCTCAATAGTAATCAAACCCGCCGACAAAGGTGGGGGTCTAGTTATCCAATCCAAAGAAAAATATGAAGTAGAAGAGACATCAGGAAGTAATTTACGAATTTAGAAGCATATTATAAATATTAATTTTTTAATGACAAGCTTTCGGGAGAACCTCCCTTTCTCAAGTCTGAAGCATTAGGTTCTCCCGAAAGCTTGTCATTAAAAAATTCTGTTAGTCCAATAAAAAAGGTATTACAAGATAAGAATTTTATCTGTTTTTTACATCTATATCACTGGACTAATACGGCTACAATCTCTACAAAAATCTATGTGTGTGTATGTATGTGTATATACGGAACCCAGGGAAGGCTATACCACACTTCTGAAGAAGCCTTATTAGGCAAAACGCGTTAAGTGGGACTCTCGTTCATACCTTTTATGGTTTTTTATTCTGTTTGTTTATATTAAAGTATACTTTTATTAGTTACTTTTTATACTCATTCTTTTTGCTGTTTCCTGGATCCTGCATATCCCTGGTGGGATTCATTATTTATTTCATCATAAGTACTTACTTCACCATTGGATGCTATTTCTTTTTACATATACTACGCATACTGCACTTTGGAAATACCTGTGTCAACCATAACAACATATCCTGAGACGCAAGCACATCACAGTTGAGCTCTGTTATAGCTCATATAAATGTGAGTTGATTCTGTATAGTTATATTCACCACGTCACGATATAAGTTTACTTTATTGCACTATTATTTTTTATCTGATTTTATTCCATGGTTTAATCCATTGGAAATACTTGGGAATATATGTACGTACATTTCGTATTTATATAAACCATTAGGTGCGGTATACGCCTCTTTTTGTCTTCTCACCTTATTAGATCTCTCTCCACTTGTCTCGTGCCTTCCTTAATGCAAATCTTCAACTGCTCTCTCTCTTCTGGCATTGTCCCTGCTGTCCTTAAACATGCCACTGTTGTACCTATCCTGAAAAAAACATCTCTTCACCCGTTCTCCCCCTCTAACTATCGTCCTTTATCCCTGCTCCTTTTTCCTCAAAGCTTCTGGAAAGACTTGTCTTTACCCGTGTGTCTCATTTCCTCAATTCCAACTCTCTCCTTGACCCTCTTCAATCTGGCTACTATGTCCTCCCCTCTTTCAACGATGTTTTCATTGGAGGGTTTAAATGCCTGTAGAGGCGCTTCTGACGAAGTAGCAGAGTAAAACTCTATTTCAATCAGATGGTCCCATACACACTGCATTTTGATACGCATGCGCACTAGCCTCCAAATGTTTCATACCCAGCTTTCGGTCATTTCCTTTAGGAGGATTCTGTAACCTCTACTGAGCTAAGAAGGGCCCTGCCGGACCCTGTTTGCTGAGAACTCTCTATGTGTATGACTGTATCAGCTTTGCTTAGCTCCATTAAGCAGCTTACTTCTCCTGCAGGAGTAGATTTGGTGTGGCGCGGGGACCAGGAGACCCTAGTGAGTTGTCAAACAGTTCCAAAACACTTTTATGAATTACAGTGGGATGGTGCCAGGGTAGTACTTTTATTCTTTGTATACATGATTGGTCAGATTGTTTGTTTTATGTTATATATTATAGAGCTCTTTTAAAATATATTTACCACTTATTTATTTATACAAATATAGCATTTTTGTTTAAATGTACTAAATTGATTTTAATTGAAAATACTTTCTTCTTTATGTATTTCTCCCCAGATCCCTCTTTCCTGAGTGAAAAGAAAAGACGGGATCGTGAAGAAAGGCAGAGTATTGTTCTCTGGAGAAAGCCACTAATTACCTTGCAGTATTTTTTCATGGAAACACTTATAAATTTGAAGGAATGGAGCTTAAAGTAAATATTCTTTAAATTTTCTTAGACTGTTTTGCACATTTATATACCTTAAAAATAAAGTGAAAAGGGAACTGAAATGTGATATGTAACCACGAACTATAAAATAAAAAAAACTTACAAAGTTCTAATTAAACCATCAAACTGCAGAATTAATGGGAATGAGATGCACTCTTCAGTCTTTTTAAAGCAAAATAATCGTCTTTAATCCATCAAAGGTTTACAAGTTTACAACCTTTGATGGATTAAGGATTATTACCATATATACTCAAGTATAAATCTAGTTTTTCAGCACATTATTTGTGCTGAAAAACCTCCACTCAACTTATACTCGAGTCAGTTTCTGTATTATGGCAACTTACATTGCCATAATACAGACCAGGACCGCCGGGCTCATTACAAGCACGGCGGTCCTGTTGGGGGCTGGCAGATAGCTGTTACTTACCTTCCTGCAGCTCCTGTCAGCTCCCTTCTACTCCACTGTAAGTCTCACGGTGTGACTAACACAGAGTGTGTGTTTGTATGAGTGTGTCCGTATATAATGCAGAGTGTGTGTTTGTATGAGTGTGTGTGTGTATAATGCAGATTGTTTGTATGAGTGTGTGTGTATAATGTAAGTGTGTGTGTGTGTGTGTGTGTGTGTGTATATATAATGCAGTGTGTTTTTGTATGAGTGTGTGTATAATGCAGAGTGTGTATGAGTGTGTGTGTGTATAATGCAGAGTGTCTGTTTGTATAAGTGTGCGTGTGTATATAATGCAGTGTGTGTGTTTGCATGAGTGCGTGTGTATATAATTATAAAAATCACAGAATTTCATAGCCCCAAGTTTTACCCTCAACTTATCCACGAGGCATAGCATATTTCACAATTGTTGGTCACAAAACTGCACTCGACTTATACATGAGATCGACTTATACACGAGTATATACGGTACTTTGCTTTAAAAAGACTGAAGAGTGCATCTTTTTTCTACATACAGTTGCAAGAAAAAGTATGTGAACCCTTTGGAATGATATGGATTTCTGCACAAATTGGTCATAAAATGTGATCTGATCATCATCTAAGTCACAACAATAGACAATTACAGTCTGCTTAAACTAATAACACACGAATGAAATGTTGCCATGTTTTTATTGAATACACCATGTAAACATTCACAGTGCAGGTGGAAAAAGTATGTGAACCCTTGGATTTAATAACTGGTTGAACCTCCTTTGGCAGCAATAACTTCAACCAAACGTTTCCTGTAGTTGCAGATCAGACGTGCACAACGGTCAGGAGTAATTCTTGACCATTCCTCTTTACAGAACTGTTTCAGTTCAGCAATATTCTTGGGATGTCTGGTGTGAATCGCTTTCTTGAGGTCATGCCACAGCATCTCAATCTGGTTGAGGTCAGGACTCTGACTGGGCCACTTCAGAAGGCGTATTTTCTTCTGTTTAAGCCATTCTGTTGTTGATTTACTTCTATGCTTTGGGTCATTGTCCTGTTGCAACACCCATCTTTTGTTGAGCTTCAGCTGGTAGACAGATGGCCTTAAGTTCTCCTGCAAAATGTCTTGATAAACTTGGGAATTCATTTTTCCTTCGATGATAGCAATCCGTCCAGGCCCTGACGCAGCAAAGCAGCCCAAAACCATGATGCTCCCACCACCATACTGCACAGTTGGGATGAGGTTTTGATGTTGGTTTGCTGTGCCTTTTTTCGCCACACATTGTGTTGTGTGTTTCTTCCAAACAACTCAACTTTGGTTTCATCTGTCCACAGAATATTTTGCCAGTACTGCTGTGGAACATCCAGGTGCTCTTGTGCAAACTGTAAACGTGCAGCAATGTTTTGTTTGGAGAGCAGTGGCTTCCTCTGTGGTATCCTCCCACGATATCCATTCTTGTTTAGTGTTTTACTTATTGTAGATTCGCTAACAGGGATGTTCGCATTTGCCAGTGACTTTTGTAAGTCTTTAGCTGACACTCTAGGATTCTTCTTCACCTCATTGAGCAGTCTGCGCTGTGCTCTTGCAGTCATCTTTACAGGACGGCCACTCCTAGGGAGAGTAGCAGCAGTGCTGAACTTTCTCCATTTATAGACATTTTGTCTTACAGTGGACTGATGAACAGCAAGGCTTTTGGAGATACTTTTATAACCCTTTTCAGCTTTATGCAAGTCAACAGTTCTTAATCGTAGGTCTTCTGAGAGCTCTTTTGTGCAAGGCATGATTCACATCAGGCAATGCTTGTTGTGAAAAGCAAACCCAGAACTGGTGTGTGTTTTTTATAGGGCAGGACAGCTGTAACCAACACCTCCAATCTCATCTCATTGATTGGACTCCAGTTAGCTGACATCTCACTGCAATTAGCTCTTGGAGATGTCATTAGTCTAGGGGTTCACATACTGTTTCTACCTGCACTGTGAATGTTTACATGGTGTGTTCAATAAAAACATGGCAACATTTCATTCTTTGTGTGTTATTAGTTTAAGCAGACTGTGATTGTCTATTGTTGTGACTTAGATGATGATAAGATCACATTTTATGACCAATTTGTGCAGAAATCCATATCATTCCAAAGGGTTCACATACTTTTTCTTGCAACTGTAATTACTTATCAGCGTGTGATTGCACCAGGTTGCATCGAGAAGTGCTCCAGCTTGGAACGCAAATCTGACACTTCCGGCTTTCCGACACCTCACAAATATAAATATAGTTTACTACGTATAGATTAGCAAATATAGTAGAAATCCTGCAAAGTTAAAATTCTCCTTTAGTACTACTGAATTAAAATAATACAGCAAATTTTGTACAGGTGTTTTTGTTTCTCCCAAATAATTAAATTAAAGCGAAAAAAAACTGAGAGAGGTAATACAGAGGGCAACCACAACGATTACATAAACTGTGTAGATGGCTCAGTTAATTAATACAATGAATGTGGAACATCTTCAGACCATAGTCACATGTTCGATTCCGTACAGACTCCACTCAGCCTTTTATTTTTCCACGTTGCTTTTTGTTGGGTAATATTTGTTTAGCAGCTGCCTGTTTGATCAAGTCTGAGAGTAAGTCCTAATTGCTCTGTCTCCTCTGGGAAGAAAGCACTATGTAAGTAGTTTGTTATTGTGGCATGCTTTTATTTACCTGCTGGTTTACATCTGAAACTCGTTCATGTAGTTTAGCATGATAATGTTACTGTAAGTGAACATGTACTCCCATCATGATTTATATTTCCTTATGATCATGTTGTTTTTTTTAAAGTGTACCTGCAATGTAAAAATCAACTAATCTTCAATCCCCCCGTATGTATGTGTGTGTGTGTGTGTGTGTGCTCACATTCACACACCACACCCTCTTCTCCCATTCTCATCAGGTTTACCCCTTTCACCTTACTTCATATATATCCTCATATTTTTACTACTCTTTCAACCTAACCATTTGTTTTCTAATATATATAGATGATATGTCATATATCACAAGGAAACATCATGTATTTAATGTAAAATATTGAGATATACTCACTTTATCTGAGTCCCAGTACCACCATCTTTAGAGTTTTGTGAGTTTTACTCTTTGTGTAACACCCACCTCCAGTCTATGCTCCTGCGTTCCTCACGTCTTCTGTGATTTGCTTCTCTTGGAGATACTTTTCCAAAAAAGGCAAGGTGAAGGTGATAGGCTGGAATTGTTGCAAGCATGCTGGCATCTGAATGGAGTGCGGTTTCTCACTTTGTTCCTCCCTAGCAAGTGCTAGCACTGTCGGATATGGAATTTCCATATCAACAACTGCGCATGTACTGTGGTTGCTATGCTTAAGAGAGCAGAAGGACTGCCTCTGAGATGTAGTCTTTGCTCTCCATTGTCACGCAAATCATTAGCGTACAGTATATGCCAAAGATTTGAGTGAGAAGCAGAAGAAATGCCTATCTTTAAATGGTTTTATCTCAATCTATACATTTGCTAGCATATCTGTTGGCATAATGTATAATTAAAATGTCATGCTCTTTTACAAGAGCTTGAGTAGTTTAAGGGGTAACGGGTATCCATGCAAATTGTTAATCTGTGAAAGATTTCTTGTGTGCAGATTTTGACTAGTTCTAAATATGGGCATGCTTTGCAGTGTTGCTATGTGTTGAACAGGTGAGGGCAGTCTTCGGCTCTGCAGTTGTTGTGGACTTCATCTTTCTGATGCTTTGCCAGCATTATGGCCGAAAAAAGCATTATGGGAAATATAATCCACAAAAGCTAGAGTGCCAAAGGTTGCTTAGCCTTGATAAAGAATGTTACATTAGATCTCACAATTAAATATATGTTGGCATTGTGTATAGATTGATATGTGTATTATACATATTGATACCAGAAAATAGGGTGATATAAAATATGTACTTTTTATTTTCTGCTTTAGAATTCTATATTTCTACAGTGTGCAAACGTCTACTTAGAACATTTGCTAATTTCTTCCAAATAAACCCAGTAATAACTGAAGTCAATCACTAACCCAACTTACTACTCCATTTATCACCTACTAATTACTTTACTCCTCTCTGTGTCTAAGTCTCCAGTGTTTCCTGGAGCAAACTCCCTTATCACATACAATTGTTTATTATATATTTTATATATATATATATATATATATATATATATATATATATATATATATATATATTATCTTTTAACAATTTCATGAAAACTCACATTTTCATTAACCTCTTTACTCCACCTATATATTTTTGTTTTCTTCTCTACTTCATTTGGCTACTCCAATGAAGTGGTCCTGGTTCAGTACCCTTTCCCACTTAATCCTGCAATGTAAAACATTGCATTTTTTTTGAGAAACTGCAATGTTTACATTAACTTATTCTCTAGTGGCTGTCTTACTGACAGCCACTAGAGGTGCTTCAGCAGCACAGACTGTGTAAAATTCAGTAATATGACGCCAAAGCCCCATGGGAAAGAACTGAATTAATGCTTTCCTATGGGGAATTTAATTTTTATCATAGTTCTACTGTTGGACGTTCACATCTGCAGGGTAGGAGGAGTCGGCAGCGCCGGGATTGGGGCAGAGCTAGAAAGCAGTTGGGAGGACACATTAGGTTATTGTTCTGTATTCCTCACATTCCTCCTGAGTTCTACCCAGCAGTTTATTATATTGAAGCCTGGACTTTGCTTTCTGAAATTGTTCAAGCTATTTGTAGAACAGTTGATGGGAGTATGTTCCTAGAAACTGGTGATTAATGTGCCACAAATTACGAGGCAATAATTGATTTTATTATTATTTCTCACTGAATGTTATCAGCCTGATGTAATAGTGCACGAAGATCGGGGAGACAAAAAAAAAAAAAACTTGGTCTCATGGCAATATTAGTGCTAATTGACCCAATTTATTGTCCACAAGCCAACCAATCTGGGTGCAGAGATGTCAGAAATGTATATGAAGCATCTGCCTCTTCTATTTTGCTTAATGTGATGCACTCCAGACACAAATACACATCAATACTTTAAAGAAAAAAGTATAACAGCATTTTAGTTGCATATTTTAAATCGTAGTGCAGTGTCAAACCGGTTTAAAACAGTTATATCAAACTTTTGACTGTGATTTTATTTTGTGTTTTAAGATATTAACTATGGTTTTATTTAATTTCTCCCTCCTAGACTATGGCACCGTCGTGGGATGGTGACGTCCTTATTGCTCATGCTTGGAGTTCTTACAGTAGCGTATTATATTGAAGGAGCACATCAACAGGTGAGTCTTGTGTATTCCGTCTCTTCTACTTTCTGTAACGTACATTTCTGCTCATGGTAGACAACCTTCTGATTTTCCTATCTGCTCACATTCACACACCACACCCTCTTCTCCCATTCTCATCAGGTTTACCCCTTTCACCTTACTCCATATATATCCTCATATTTTTACTACTCTTTCAACCTAACCATTTGTCCTCATACAGTTTTCTAATTTTCCTCCTACATCAATGAATTCTTTTTTTTATCTGCTTTCTCAATTATGCTTTTTCTTATATTTTACTTGTTTGTTTTTTCATTTCCTTACATAGTTTCTCCTTCTGTTCTCTCTATATATTCAGTTTCCTATTTGGTGGTTTCACATTTATTTAAACAGAATTCTGGCTGGATATCTGCACAGCGACAGTATGCAGAAGAATGGGTTTACAAATCTACCCTTTAAGTGTATGCTACAACAAACATTCCTATTAAGTACTGCAGCTAATGGGACGCTCTGGGCCCCTTAAGCACTTTAGCTTGCTGAAAAGCTTTATGTGTGAACAGTGTTTTCATTTATTTATTTCATTTTGCAAAAAGCGCAGATTTCAGTAGAAATTTACACTTGTATAAATTATACTGGTTACACCCCCTGGCTTTTCAAGCAGACAGCGGGTCCTGTTACTTCCTGGTTTGGCTTGCTTAGTTGCACTGAACTGAAGATGCAGCATTTGTCCAGAGCACCTGCCTTGCAACGACTTCTAATTGAGCTGCATTGGGAAGTCTGTGACTGGACAGTCACATAAAGACTGGGCGGGGTTAGAAGGGAGGGAGGGCTTGCAAAGACTGCAGACAAGATATGCAGTTTTTGCAAACTGTTTTTAGATATAACTCCAATGCAAAAATGCATAATTAAATGCATGCAAGTTTTCATCTGGGTTACCTCTAGTGATAAATTTACAATTTATTTTGTATTCGGGGACCAGAGTGTCCCTTTAACAGGGTACCCCCTTTTTCTTACTTTTTGAAAGTGCTGATTGCATTGTATTTGCCAGTAGATAATCACGAGTGATTATTTCAGTGCAGCAAAGCTGGATTAGAAGTAGTATATTTTTAGGCGAGCAAGCGGCCCTACATGTGATTATTGTTTAACACTGGGGAGTTCAATTAATTTATGACACTTAAATGTATTCGAGCAAAACTCAGTCACATCTTTCACAAACTCTTTAACAATTTGTACTTCAGACAGAGAGATTATGTAAAGGGAAACTGTAGCAACAGAACCTCTACATATAAATAGCAGAGTCTATTGGTTTAGGAGTTAAATCGCTTTTATTTCTGTTTATGCACCCCTAGCAACACCTACCCTGGCTGTGACTGACACAGCCTGCATGAAAACGAAATGGTTTCTTTTTAAATCATATGTAACTTACTTTAAAAGTTTTTATCTTTTGCTCTGTAAATTTAACTTGATAATACTTGATCACACACAGGAGGCTCCTACAGGATCTAGGAAGCTATTGACAGCAGGAGATAAGAGATTCTAAATTAAACAGAATTTATAAGTGAAGTATAAACCTTTGACTCTTAAAAGGAAGTGTTTGTGAAGGCTGTGTAAATCACATGCAGAGAGGTGTGACTAGATCTGCATAACCGCAGTGATTTAACTCCTGATCAATACACCAACACTGCTTTATTTTCTTTATTTTAAATTTTGTAAAACCACTCATCTGTCAATGGTTCCTGCTTGTTCATTATATTCTAGCAACATGTGGTCTATTCTGATTTATGACTTTTTCAACTAATTGTGATTTACTTTACTCCTTTTCAGTATGTGCAGCATGTCGAGAAGAAATTTTTATGGTGTGCCTACTGGGTAGGCTTAGGAATACTTTCCTCAGTTGGACTTGGAACAGGTCTTCATACCTTTCTACTATATTTGGTAAGCTTGTTATATTTTTTGGGGGGGTGTGTGGGAAAGGTCCTTGACTAGGAATTTGTTACATCTTTCACAGTACTATGATAACATGTAAACTGTATTTTGTTTACTCTGCTAAAGAGAGCAAAAAAATGCTTGCCTCTGAAAAAAGTCTTGTTACAGAGAGTTACCAAAAAATCATGTGCTTTTGACTAATTTGCCATATGCTGATAGGTTGAATAAATGATCAAATTATCCTTTGGGCAGTTGTGTCCTAATGGTGTCTGTTGTTACATGACCCACTGACCTTACTTGGAAGTCACATACTATGCTTCAGGATAGAGCATTCACTATTTATATTTTGAAGTATCACTTTCAGATGGTGGTAGTCTTATTTTACACACCAGGAAAACCTACACATCGAAGAGAGTAAACGTGTTAACATACACTGTAAAGATACCAAACTTTTGTTTTCCATCTTAATATTATAAAAAAATTTTTTTAGAAATAAGTTTACATAAACAGTCAGGTGACATTTGGGTCATCTCACTAGTGCCAAGAAGAGCCAATTTGTGCCTTCCTTAAACAGCTTGCATTTTTCACAGGGTGGATTTAAAAAGATTCTTTGGGAATTTTGATCCACGCTGGTCAGATTGAAATTGGAGAAATGGACAGTCCATTTGTCTAAACTGAAGTCACTACCATGTTTGTTGAAGTGTTATGAGGTTGTGTTGCCTTCCATCTGTCACCCTCTGGAACCGTTGGATTATACAGTCCTTGTTGTTCCATGTGGAGCACTAATCCTCAGATGTGCAAATAGTGTAACTGATTCTAGCCAATACTTACTGTATTATCAGTATTCTATAATACAACAATTTAGTCCTCCGTGCTTTTTATTGTGCTTATTATTTTTTTTTTTATTTTTGCTTTTTCTAATTTACTTCCAATATACTGGTAAATAAAATCCCTTTTATTAGCCGTTTCCCTTTACTGTAATCAAATGTTTTGTTTTTCCTTCATAGCAAGGCAGGTAAACTGCACGGAGATAAGTTGAATATGAGTAATAGAAATGGCAGAGTAAAGTAAATGGGTTATTTAAAGAGGAGATAATCCTAATAATAAGAACATTGAGAACTGAGAGCAGACTGAACAGGAGATATATAGTGAAGGCTGTAAATAGTGCTTGGATGTGCATTCACAAATCCATTAATAGAGCACTGGGGGCCATCACTGCTGGCAACTTGATATGGCTGAATATCATATTAATATGGTCACACTACACTTCTCACATGTAAACCTGACAGTCAAATAAAAACATCAGCTTTGTTCATGTCAAGACGGTTGCTTGCCCTGTCACCAAAAGACTTTCATACTTTAAATGGAATTAGTTATCTCTCTGTTTTTGCTCCCCAAAGCAGCTCCTTGTTCCATTAAAATTTGGAAGACGTGAATCGGTCTCGACTACTTATTTGACAAATCTACACTGTTCAGCTAGCCTATTACTGAGCGGAGAATTGTGGAGATGCACACAACCGTTCCTGATTCTCCAGTCAATATGTAGTTGGAAAGATTGCTTCTCTAGTAGTGGAGCAACGGTTATAAAATTGGAGGTGTTTGGTTCAGTAGCCAGGACATCTGCAGTGTTTTGAGTGCTTTATTTTGTGAAGATACATAAGTTATGATGACTGGTTATTTCATTTTGTAATTCTCAAAAACTGGAAATGTTTATAAATATGTGGTAGCACATGACTATAATAACTACTGCTCAGAATCATTGGAATCTGTCCCATAGTTTTCTGTCAAACGTTTTGATAAATGGTTTGACAGAAAATAAAGTGTTCCCATGGTGACTCCTTTACACTTGCACAGAAATGACACTGTTGGGAAATTTTGCTATTACATTGTCAAGTGTAGATTGTCTTTATGGTGTGGTTGTGGTGCTTAACATTTCTATCCCTCTCTCCTGGGCTGCAGTTATTCTCCACAATTACTGTTGTACATAATGCTATGACCTAGGTTTCTGGGATATGTAGTTTAGCTGCTAACTTTCTAAACTAGAATGCTGTCAAATGATCTACAAGACCCAGAAAGCGTTATAACACTTGTGTTCCCAAGACACTGCTAATGGACTAAGCTTAGAAGTGCTATAGAAAGTCAAGAGAGTAACCTTATGGTTTTGTGAGCTTTCATTGCACAGGATGGTGTTTTGCAGTAGACCCATACTTCTAGTGTGAGAATATTTATTTATTTATTTTTAAATTAATAATTTTATTTTTTGGTTTGCAATATATTTTTCTTTGGTAAGCATTATCTGTATAAAACATAAAAAAATACATTACTTACAGTCTGAGAAGTTCTGTGACTTCATAATAAAAAGATACATGGCTCTTTTTCAATTTTAAAAATAATCAAGCTGAAAACTGAATTCACATAAATTGAGAGACAATTTAAAAATTTTCTATGGGAGGCTATCCCCTATTTGTAGTTCTTTGTATATTAAGAGTTACTACACAAATCAGGGGTACAGCCAGCATACCAGTGTTTAAAAGAGATCTCTTTACATTCACATATCACTGCCACGCAGCCTCAAGCTCTTTCCCAGTGGAGCTATGTCAGTCCTGTTGCATCATTAAGAAATCCAGCAGAATAAACTATTAATAATACTCTATAGTTAGACGTGGCAACATCATGATTTCACACATTGAATTTTCAGTATTGTCCACATCTGTAAGAATTAAAGGCAAAGTGTATTTAATACAACCACTTGGTTAACAGATTATACTCTATGGTTTGTTATTCTTGACATTCTTCAGTAGATTGTCAGAGGTAAACAAGATGCTAAACTTTACATTTATACTGTTCGAGAGGTCTGCTACTTAATTATTCCAAGCACTATATGTATTTTGGAATTAAAATGTTTATAATTTCCCCATAAGAGAGGACAGGACCCACAGGTGCAGTACAGCTGCAAGGTCTTTCATTTATCCTCTTAAACCTAAAATGGACCATTTTCCACTTATAATTGTCTGTTTATTTAGAATCAGGAGCTCCACACCACCTTGCAGTAGTCAACTTATTGGGCTGTTTTGGAATGAGACCCTTCAAATGATTGATATGACAAAATTGACCATTATAGGCCATTAAGGAGTTATTTGAACGAAAGCCATTGCATCTGAATTTTGCAAGTGCAAATTATTTCTACTAAAATAAATATCTGTCCTACATCGTTTATTGGTGTTAGGACTGGGATAAGAGTCCAGTGATACCCTGCAGGAAAGAAACCTATTCAGGTAAGTGTGAGATTAATATATAGTCATGTATTATCATTTTATTTGTTCTTGTTAAAGATAGATTATATTTAAATACTCACGGAGCATCAGAACAACTCTGCATAATTGGAAAGCTGATAGTGTAGCTTTATCAGATGATACAGGACTAGTGTGACATCCACCCACTCTCTCTTTTGCGCCCCTTCTGGTATGATGTGTCCTCACTGTGCAAACTCCTCCAGCCCCCACTATGCCATTAATTGTATTCATTATTTTGGCATTGCTTTTACTGTTTACAGTGCTGTTACAGTGCATACCCTGGAGTTATGACAAGATACCATGAAAAATGTCCATATGTGGATCCCATCTCACTTAAAGGACTACTTTAGGAACCCAGACCACTTCAGCTCAAATAGTTGGTCTGTGTGCACTGGTGCTGTTGTTTTGGTCCTGGAATTTAAAACATTGCTATTTTTTTATTTTATTTTTTTTTTAGATGTGAAATTGTTTGCATTGCTGTGCTAAACACACTTCTACTGGCTGTCTTCCTGACAGCCACTTGATGTTGCTTCCGCTGCTGCAACAGAGTCATCTTAATACGACATTCTACATCCTCATGCATATTATTCAATGCCCTCTGATGTTAATCATGGTGACTATTTGAATTTAATTCCCCCTTTTTATTTCTCATTTTTATATTTAATTTACAGGGAATCTTATTAGTGAGTAGAGCACTATAGCATTAGGAATGCATGTATCTTTTTGCCATAGTGGTCCTTTAAAGGAACACTCCAGACGTTGTAGTGGGTTGTATTACCAGGATTGTCCTGCTGCCCTCCCAGGGTAACTGGTTAAACCATTACTTTACTGAGAGGGAAGTGGACGCATGAAATAGCCTCCCAGCTGACGTGGTAGCTGTTAACACAGTGAGTGAGTTTAAGCATGCATGGGAAAGGCATAAGGCTATCCTAAATATAAGAAAAGGACAGGGACTAAAGTATTTAGAAAATTGGGCAGATTACATGGGCCGAATGGTTATCTGCCATCACATTCTATATTCTAATTATGAATGTTTTTACTACATACCTGGGGCCCGTCTGGTGCGAATTACATTCTCCAAGACTGCCAGAAATGCCTGCACAGAGCTTTCCTGAGCTAATTAATGCTGTGCAGGGCTGGCTCATAGGTTGAGTATGTAAGCTGATTAGCTAAGCCCTCCATCGCTAAGATATCTCAAACAAAAACGCTGCCGACTCTGCTGAAGGAGGTGACCCATGCCCGGCGGACCCCAGGTAAGTTGTCAAACTACCTGAGTAGTGCAAGGGCACTTCTGGAACTTCAAGCACTTATGGTGCTTAAAGTATTCCTCAGTGTGGAGTATGGATGTAGCTGCATATCAGTGTATGTATATGACCGTGTGTCTGCATGTATAAGATATTCTAGTTGTACATGTGAGGGCAGTAAGGTATAGGGGAGTTTCACACAAATTACTGTACCTAGGGCATCCGAAAAATCTAAAGCCATCGCTAGAAATAAAGCTTGATTGAGCAGGGCCCTCAAGACACTTCGTTCCTGTGCATTATTCATAAGATAAAGTAAAGACTATTTCTTATGGTGAGTGTAATCTTTGTCAATGGGCAGAGCTTAAGTAGAGTTCTATTTTATTTAAGCTTATTTACCCATAATCCATCAATGAAAAGAATCATACAGAAAGGCAAACTCGTGAACAGGGAGAACAAAATGGAAGCACCCAGGTATTGAGAGCACAAAGAAGAAAAGATAAATATAAATAAAGCAAGGGGTTACAATCATTATGGTACATAAAGAAAAACTATTTAAAAAAACCCAAACCTGACATTGCTGTTTTAGGATCAGCATTTAATACAGTCACTCCCTGAAACTATTTTAGATCAAAATAAGTGACTAAGCAGTCTAATATTTCGTGGGCACGTTTATTATATTGCATGTTTGTGCTCAGTAGAGAGAATCCATTAAATATGC